TACCCTGCCCACCCCCTCCCAACCACATTCCCCCCCTTTAGTTCATGTCCATGTATCATTCTTTAGCTTCTACATCTCATACTATTCTTGCCCTCCCCCCGTCCATTTTCTACCTACCATCTATGCTACTTATTCTCTGTACCTTTTCCCCCTCTCTCCCTCTCACACTCCCCTGTTGCTAACCCTCCATGTGATCTCCATTTCTGTGGTTCTGTTCCTGTTCTAGCTGTTTGCTTATTCTTTTGGTTTTGTTTTAGGTGTGGTTGTTAATAACTGTGAGTTTGGTGTCTTTTTACTGTTCATATTTTTTATCTTCTTTTTCTTAGGTAAGTCCCTTTAACATTTCATATAATAAGGGCTTGGTGATGATGAACTCCTTTAACTTGGCCTTATCTGAGAAGCACTTTATCTGCCCTTCCATTCTAAATGAAAGCTTTGCTGGATAGAGCAATCTGGGATGTAGGCCCTTGCCTTTCATGACTTGGAATCCTTCTTTCCAGCCCCTTCTTGCCTGCAAGGTCTCTTGTGAGAAATCAGCTGACAGTCTGATGGGAACTCCTCTGTAGGTTACTCTCTCCTTTTGTCTTGCTGCTTTTAAGATTCTCTCCTTATCTTTAATCTCGGGTAATGTAATTATGATGTGCCTTGGTGTGGTCCTCCTTGGACCCAACTTCTTTGGGACTGTCTGAGCTTCCTGGACTTCCTGGAAGTCTATTTCCTTTGCCAGATTGGGGAAGTTCTCCTTTATTATTTGTTCAAATAAATTTTCCACTTTTTGCTCTTCCTCTTCCCCTTCTGGTACCCCTATAATTCAGATGTTGGAATGTTTCAAGATGTCCTGGAGGTCCCTAAGCCTCTCCTCATTTTTTTGAATTCTATTTCTTCATTCTTTTCTGATTGCATGTTTTTTTCTTCCTTCTGGTCCACTCCATTGATGTGAGACCCAGTTTCCATTCCATCGCTATTGGTTCCCTGTGCATTTTTCTTCATTTCACTTAGTGTAGCCTTCATTTGTTCATCTAATTTACGAGCAAAATCAACCAATTCTGTGAGCACCCTGATCACCAGTGCTTTGAACCGTGCATCTGATAGGTTGGCTATCTCTTGGTTGCTTAAAAATATTGACTGTGGGGCTTCCATTTGTCCTTCCGTTTGAGCCATTTCTGGGGGGTGGTTCTGGCTGCACCTGTTACGTACGAGGGGCGGAGCCTTAGGTGTTCACTAGGGCAGGCAACCCAGTCGCTGGGTTCTGACGCTGTACGTGGGGGAGGGACCGCGGGGGAACAATGGCGCTTGCTCCGCTCGCTCTCGGACTTCAGTCCCTTCTGCCACTTCCCACAGGCAAACTGGGCCCTTCTGGTGCTGGCTCCCGGGCGAGGGGGCTTGTGCACGTTCTAGGACCCTGTGGGTCTCCCCAGGGAGCTCTCCTCCGAGGCTGGGAGATTCTCCCAGAACCTCAGCCCCCACAGGTGTATTTCAATTGGTGCTTTTAGGCTTCATTTCCCGGCGCTGGGACCCTGGGTTGCGTGGTCTGTGTCACTGCCCATTTTCACCTGGTTTATCTGCGCGCAAACGTGTGACTGCAGACAGCCAGCGGCCTTGCGCGCCTCCCTGGGTCTGCTCGCTGCCACCCGGCACCCGGGGTCTGCCACAGGGTCCGTCAGCTGCCGCCTGCGCCCTGCGTGCCCGCGCCTGCCAGCCGCCGCTTCTTCCTGCCAGGACCCCTCGACCTCTCCCGGTTGGGCCCCGACTCCGCCCCTGTTGCTGGTCTGGATGAATGGTTGTCAGACTTCCGCACAGGTCATTTCCCTGTCCGTTCCGGTTGCTTTTTTGTTTCTAAATTTTTGTTGTCCTTAGTTTTGGTTGTGCGAGGAAGCACAGTGTGTCCATCTACGCCTCCATCTTGGCCGGAAGTCTAAATAACTAAAATCTTAAAAAAAAAATTAAAACAGTATAAAAGGAACAATGACACATCTCCTGGCCAGCCCCTGACCCACCGGGCCACTCCCCAAGGAAACCCCAGGAATGGCTGCTCAGGCCCAAGCAGGGCAGTGTGAGTCTGCTTCCCTGGGCCAGGCAGGGGGTCACCTGCCCACGCCGCTCCCCAGGTGCAAGCACACCTGGGTGAGACGTCAGCTGGACCCGACAAGGACCCGCTCCAGTGGGCACAGCCCGACCTCATTCTCTTGGTCGGAGGCTCAGCAGCTCAGGGCGCCCCTCCCGTTTCACCGGCCCCCCGCATGCCGGGGGTTGCTCTAACACGGGAAGGACAGTCTCTGCAGAGACCCACAGGGACAAGATGGGGGCGGGGCCTCGGCGGGGCGGGGCCTCGGCGGGGCGGGGGGCGGTCCTCACAGTGGGGACTCGCAGGCATTTTCCATTCCACAGACGGGCGTGGCGCACCAGCGCCCCCTGCTGGGAACTCACACCTCCTCCACGGGAAATGCATCTTCACCTGGGAGCGTCATCAGCGACCCCATGTAGGAAAGCAGCCCAGCCGGTCCCTTACTCGGAGACGCCGCCCTGACATCCCTGAGCACTTACTTGTGGGATCTCAGAGCGGAGAAAGCCGCCCTGGGCCTCTCGCCCCGAAGCCAGGAGCCACAAACGGAAACCTGACAGCCCCTGGCTACCATGGCACATCGAAAACTTGCGTGTCACAAAGAAAACAAGCAAAAAAGCCAAATCCCAGTTAAAAAGAAAAGCAAGACACTGAAAAATAAGTGGTTAGCACATGAGTGGGTGGTGGAGATGAGCCAGCATCCCTCACAGAAAAAAAAAAAACTCCAGGGGAAGAAAAAGACACGCGGCCCGAGAGAAAAACACAGAATGTGCAAAGAACACAGACGGGCGCTTTTCCAAGGGGCCGGCGACCGAATGAAAACACGTTCGGCGAAACCAGCGGAAGTGAAAGGCGACGAAAAGGCGGTTCACCCACGCGTGAGACCACGCGGGAGGGACGGGGCAGCCCGCTCAGGCCGGCTCACCCCGCCGCCCCGTGGGTGGACAGCCCGGGGCCCGGCCTTGCTGGAGGGCATGTGGGCAAAGCCCAGCCTGGCCTCTGGGCCCAGGGGTCCCTTCTGGGCACTCGCCCTGAGGAAGTGCTCAGCCGCTTCCCGAGGACAGGTGCTCCTGGTCGCCACGGCACGACTTAAAAACCCGAGAGCACACGCCAAACACTTACCGTCTGCGTTCCTGGGCTGGCACGTGATTCGTTAGATACGTCTCCCCAAGTTCTTGGTAGTAAGTAGTTTTCTTATAATAAGAAAATGTTGCTTATTAAAACAATTCGCCAGAGCATTAAATCCACGTTTCAGTGGGGTTCTGGACACCTGGCCCCCCAGCTCCCCGGGCCGATGGAGACTGGGGACTTCTCCCCTCCCGGGCCCCGCGGCACAAAGCCCCTGGTTTCCAGCCCTGTCAGACCTCGGGTGTTTTCGAGACGGGAAATGAACGCCCAGTTCATCCCCAAACCCGTCCGTGTCGGGGCTGAGGAACCAGGCCGTGGGGACGGACAGACGGAGGTGTTGGTGCGCCTTGCTCTTGATCTGCCCCTCCCACCAGCAGGGTGGTCCCGGCAGCCGGAGCTGCACCCATGACCCCTCGGGCCTTGGGCGAAGATCTCCAGATAGTGTGAAAAGTAAAACTGGACATTCCCCATGTCCCGCCCTCGGAGAGGAGACCAGACCACACACAGAACCGGACTTCAGTCCAGGGTGCTCCCCGGTGCTCCCCTCCATCTTCCCAGACAGGCCGGGTGCCCAGCTCAGGAGGGATGCTGGAACAGGCTGCGGGTGTGCGGGGGAGGCAGTCACGCAAGTCTCCGGCCCCCGCCCCATCCTCCAGCACCCACACACTCTCCCTGGGGCCCAGCGAGCAGTCTTTGAGTGCCTGAGGGAAGCTCTCCCGGGTCAAGTTCTGGGCTTCTATTAAACACGAGGCTGGAACTTGGCCGGCCTTGCTTCCTGGGCCACCACCCAAAGGTGAAGGCAGCTGGAGGCCCAGGCAGTCGCCTGGACGGAAAGCTGGCCCTGCGCAGGCGGCTGGGGGGGACGTGGCCTGGGGACCCGCTGCTTCCAGGGCTGGAGGCCAGGCTCTACCTGCTCCGTGCGGGCAATTCAGCCAAGGAGGGAGAAGATGCAGGCACGGGGCGGGGCGCACAGGGGGCGCTGCACGTGCAGGAGCTTCTGGGGTCACCGCAGCTCACAAGCACAGTAGCGACCCCCAGAATAAAGTAGCCATCGGCGCGCCCGCCTGCGGCCCACCCTCCGGGCCTACACTGCCCCCTCTGAGTGGAGGGGAGGGCCGGCTTCCCCCACTCCCAGCGCTTGGTGCAGCCCAGGCGACGGGGCAGTCAGCAGTCCCCGAGGGTCCCCGCCTCTACAGCGCCGGGTGGGGGTCAGACATCGCACCAGCGAATAATTCACCAAGGGCGCGCGGACCTTTCCTGGGCCCTGTCCGAGGCGGGGAGGGTGGGGCGTCCCCGGGCCTCCGCAGCGGCCGGCAGGTGGGCGCGCGCTCGCCGGGCGGGGGTCCGGCCGGGCCGCGCGCCTCCCCCGGAACTCGGCCGTGCCATTCCCATGATGCCCAGCCACCGGGCACGGCTTCCGGAGCGCGGCCGCAGCTCCCGCCGCTGCCGGTAGGTCCGGGGAGGGGGCGCCCGGGATCGCCCCGCCCCGCGCGCCCCGCCCTCCGCGCGTCCCTCGGCGCCGGGCGGGGGTGGGGAGCGGCGGCGGGGAGACGGCGGCCCCAGCCCCCTCCTCGCGGCCCGAGGGGCGGGACGCCGGGACCCCGCCGCCCCCGCGCGCCCCCCGCGCGCCGCTCCTCCCCTGGGACGCGGGGCGGGCGGGAGGGCCGGCGCCGGGCGAGGGGCCGGGCGGAGGTGAGAGCCGGGGCCGGAGCCGGAGGGCGGCTAGGCAGGCCGCGGTCGGCGGCGCCGGGCCCCCGGGGAGGGTGCGCGAGGCGGGGGCGCGCTCGGCCGGCGCCTGGGGCTGGTACTGCCCCGGGCGGGGGTCGCGGCCCGGGAGGCAGCTCTTGCTCCCGCCTCTGCGCCGCGGGGCCCGCCGCGCGCCCCGCGTTCCTGGAAGCCCGCGGGGCGCGGGAAGAAGGACGCACCCAGGTGAAGCGCAGGTGAGGGCCCGCGGGGCAGCTTCCGGCCAGCCTAGCGCTCCCGCCCTGAGAGCTCGGCCGAGGGCCCGGTCCCCCCCCACCTTTCCCCGCGGAGGAGCAGTCCCTCCCGGTGCAGCTTCCGGGAGGGTCGCGGGCGACCCGCCGGCCCCTGGCCCCGGGACCCCGGACCCCAGAAGCAACCCCGGGGGTGCAGGCTGCGCGGAGGCCTGCCCCCTTCCCCGCGGGAGGTGCTTGCATTTACGCGGCGGCGGCTGACCGCCGGCCCAGAGCAGGCATCAGCGCCTCGAGGCAGGGAGCCCCAGTGCGCGGGGTGAAAGGGCAGGGCGGGGTCAGCTGCGAAGGCCTCGTCCTCCTCCGGCTTGGTGCTGCCTGTTGTGAGGTCTGACCTTCTAGCCAGCGGGCGGGAATTCTGGCCCACGCCCACTTCAGGTTGGCCTGCCGGGCCCTCCCTAACCCCAGAGTAGCCTCACCGGGGAGGTGACCACCCCTCCCCCCCCGGGCCGGCCCGCTTTTGCTGATGTATTTGAGGCGTGACGTTTAGGGAGCCGCACTGTTCGGAGCGAGCTGCGCTGGGTTTGGAATCCCTGGAGGAGCATGTCTGCGCCGGGAGGATGTCCCGGAGGCACCACCACCTCAGCTGGGGCACCACGTGGCTTTGGGGTGCAGGGCTGGGCATCCGCACGGCCACCCTCTGACCCGGCTCAGGGGCAGGGCGGCAGGTCGACAGCCCAGCGGCCTCAGCTCCAGGCCCTCCCCAGGCACCGTTCAGAGTTTGCCGGTGTGATTCATCAGTGCAGTGGGTTGCCTCAGGGCCTCGGGCTGTCCCTGGAGACGCCCTCTGCATTCTCAGCCTCATTCCCGCGCCCGCCCGGGAGTTTGACAGCTCAGGGACACCGTCTCCTGGGACTCCGGGCCCCGTCCCCAGGCAGGTGGCCCCCGGGGGACAGGCTGCTGCGTTTCTCCCCAAGCCTCGCTCCCCGGTGCCACCTGGTGTGTCAGGGTCGCCCCGGGCCCCCTTCCGAGACGGTGTTTCTGTTGCACGAGTTCACGTCCTTGATTCGGATCCTTCTCGCCCAGGCCTGTGCAGCCACGGCGTAATCTCTGGTCAATGGCCACAGTGAGGTGGGCACAGGCCCCCAGCCAGTGAAAGCCCCCCCACTGCTGGTCCCCCTGGTCTGGCTGTGACGGCGTGGGAGGGGTCCTGGGCTGTCGTGGGTCTGGGCCCTGGGGGCCAGCTGCCCGCACTCCCTCCCCCACCCCACCCCACCCCCGCGCCGCCAGCCCTGCGGACGGCTGGGTGGTCATATGCTGGTGCTTCACGCTGGTTGGTCCCAGGGTGAGTTCTTCCAGAATTGCGTTTTGAGCCCATAAGTGGACGCTGTTTCTTTTACAAAACCGAAAAGACGCGAGCGGCCACCTCGGCCTCTGAACTGGGCGTCTCTGCTTCCCGCCCCCCCCGGCAGCACGCAGCCCGGTCTGAGAGTGCCCGCTGGGCGATGCGGACCTCGAACCCGCGACGTGGCCGTCCCATCGACACTCTGAACCTGGACTCAAGGAGGGTTCCAAGTAAGTGCGGGGAGTCCTTTGACGTCGTGTTTCCACTCGTTGAGCACAGGTCAGCCTCTGGTGAATCGCTAGTCACTCCCGCCCGGGCCCGTCCCTGCCTGGGTGGCCGGGCCACGCTTCCCCGGGCGGCCTGAGCCCTGCGGACGAGATTACGTGCCCATCAGCAAGGGAGCTCCCGGCGGAGAAGGGCCAATGTCGGAAGCAAAGTGGGTCCCCCGGGCGGGTCCCAGCCCACTCTTCAGGTCCCCGGGGCGGTGACAGCCCTGCCTGGCACCCTTTTGGGCATGGAACTCTGTTTGCTGTTTCGTTTCCATCGAGGCCGCCAGGCCCAGCGCCCCTCATCCGGCGGCCTTGTGTTCCAGCCCCGGGGCAGGAGGGGCCGGACACGCGCGGGGAACGCACCCTCGCCTGGTGTGTCCTGTGTGTCCCTAAATGACCGGCCGCAGTGCCCGTCACTGCCCGCGCTGAGCGGCGGCCCCGACCTCTGGGGCGGAGGCTGTTTGCCGGCTGTCGTCCGTGTCCCCGGGACGGGCCCTGCGGTCCTGCCGACGACGCCACACGGGGCCTGAGACACAGAGACCGGGGCCACCACACAGGACGGGAAGGACGTGTGGCCGTGTCTGGGGGACGTCTGTGCTCGTTAGCCCAATACAATGATGCAGCTCCGAGAGGGCGTCTCGCACGCTGGCACCTGACGCTTCCCAGTGACCAGCGACTCGGTGAAGATGTCCAGGGAGGCGACCGCCCAGTCACTCACGCCACATCTTGTTTCCCCGCAGGGGGCCGCCGCCGCCGCCACCGCCGAGAATGAGCTGCCCCGCGAGGTCCGTCTCGCCGCCCCGGGGCCCCAACCCCCCGCTCTTGAACCTGCAGAGAAGCCTGCGTGGCCTCCGCCTCGCTAGCGCCTGGGCAGCTGTTTGAGGTACACGGAGCCTGTTCTCTTGCAGGGAAGGCGAGGGCCCATGGCCGGAGCGGGACGGGAATGGCGGGGGCGGGCTCCCGAGAGCGGGCGGGCAGGCGGGTGGGCTGCCGGGAGGAGGGTGTTCCTGCGGCGTCTCCCTGGCAGGCCTGACACTGCTCAGGACGTGAGGCCACGCGGCCTGGGTCCCGCTGCCCCCCTCCCCCACCCCGTGGTCCCCCCCCCCCACCCCGAAGTGCCTCACTGCTGTGCTTTCCTCCCAGCAGGATGTGACGCGAGCTGGCAGACGGAGCCCGGCCTCGGCGCGCCTCCCCGTCGCTAGAATGTTCCTCATGAACGCCCCTCCTGTGCTTGCTCTCCAGTCCACATGGGAGGCCTTCGGGCGGCCGGGGAGCTGTAGGTTTCCCGGGCGCCTGCCGCAGCCGGGGGGCGCGGGGCGCGCGGCCGTGAGCGCCAGGGTGCAGATGATCATCAGCTCGCTCCAGGGCGACCGGGCCGCCGCGCGGGGCAGGAGTCAGGAGCGCGCCCTGCACAGGGGCCCCAGGGGCCGCGAGGCCCAGCCGGCCGCTGCCTCTGCAGCCTGCGGTCTCGCGGCCAAGTTCGACCCCAAGCAGGAGGAGGAGGAGGAGGCCGCAGACGCGGGGCCCCTGGGGCTGGACTCGGACAGCGACGACTCCGTGGACCGGGACATCGAGGAGGCCATCCAGGAGTACCTGAAGGCCCGGAGCGGGGCCGCCGACGGGGAGGGTCCGCCGCGCAAGCCGGAGCCGCCCCAGAGCTGCGCCCCACCCGCCCCGTGCGCCCCCAGGCGCGCCCCCGCCTCCGGAGGTGCCCCCGGCAGCCGCGCCGCGGGAGCCGGCGGGGCTCCGGGCTCCGCCTCCCCCCTCAGCGTCAGCAGCGAGGACTCCTTTGAGCAGAGCATCCGGGCGGAGATCGAGCAGTTCCTCAGCGAGAAGAGGCAGCACGGGGCCCCCAGACGGGACGCGCCCACGGACCCACAGCTGGACCCCGGCGCCGCCAGATCCTGCAGAGAGCCGGGCATCCGGGCGCAGCGGCCAGAGTCGGCAGGCGCCTGCAGGGAGTTCGTCTTCCGGAAACCGCCCAGGTTGGCCAAGGCGGCGGCACAGCCCAGGAGCCTCAGGCCCAAAGCCACCCCAGAGCCGGAGAGCTGGGGCGGCCCGAGGCCAGCCGCACCCAGGCCACTGGCCGCCTGCCGCCCTGCAGAAGCCCAGAGTAAAGGTGGGGCCAGGAGGAACCCCGGCCCCGGGAGGCGGGGCCAGGGGCCCAAGGGTGCAGCGGGTGCCACAGCCCCGGCGCGCCAGGCCTCCGACTCCAGCAGTGACGACGGCATCGAGGAGGCCATCCGGCTGTACCAGCGGGAGAGGAGGAAGGAGGCCGGTGGGGACCCGCCGGGGGAGGGGCCGCCCGAGCCCCCTGCCCGCGGTGCGAGCCTCGCCACGAGAAGTGCCTTGCCCGATACCCCCAGGAAGACGCCAGGCAGGAAGAAGCCGGTGGCCTCCAAGGCCGCGGACCTGGGCCCGGGGGGCCCTGATGCCGCCCAGCCCCCCAAGCCACCGAAGGAGACCAAAGCCCCCGCCCCCCCAGGAAGCGCCGCGGCCAGGAGCGAGTCTGGGGACCGGGCCCCGTGCCGGGCAGACACGTCCGCCGAGCTGATGTGCGCCGAGGCCATCCTGGACATCTCCAAAACCATCCTGCCCGCCCCCGGGGAGGGCGGTGACGGACCCCCGTCCTGCGGCCCGCCCCCTCGGGCCCCCCGAGTGCCTTCCCGCCACTGCGACGGGGATAGCAGCTCTGTGGACAGCGACGACAGCATCGAGCGGGAGATCCGGACGTTTCTGGCGCGGAAGGCACAGGCGGGGACTCCGCTGGCCGGGACGGAGCCCTGCCCGCGGACCGCACAGAGCCCGCTGCTGCTACCGCCACTGCCACCACCGCCGGGCCTCCACGGTCAGGCCAGCGGCCCCAAGGCCCCCGCCTCCAGAACGCTGGACCTGTCGCTGGGCCGCAGCAGGAAACGCCGGGGAGGCAGCGCCCCCGTGTGGTCGTCCACCCCCAAGAAGGCGAGCGAGGCGGCAAAGGAGGGCGCCCCGGACGGTGACCCCGGCCAGGGGAGAGCCAGCGAGGCCCCCGGCCGGGAGGGCGAGGCCCGGGCGCAGCCACCACCCTGCAGGACCGTTGGGCCGGGTGACGAGCCGGTGGCCCCAGACGCGGCGCGGGGCGGCGTGCCACCCAGCCCCGGGAAGGCGGCCGAGTGCAGGAGCGCGGAGGAGAAGGGGAGCTCCGAGGACAAGAGCAGCTCGTTGGACAGCGACGAGGACCTGGACGCCGCCATCAAGGACTTGCTCCGGTCCAAACGGAGGCTCAAGAAGCGGTGCCGGGACCCCCGAGCCGCGAGCAAGAAGAAGGTCCGGTTCAGCACCCGCGAGGCGCGGGCCCCCGGCCAGCAGGGCGGCGCCCCCCAGAGAGGCTGGAAGGACAGGAGCCCCCACCTGCTCAAGAGCTGCCTCTCCAAGGCCGACAGGGACAGCAGGGAGGACCCGCCGCGGAAGCCTTCCGGCGTCTTCTGCAGTGGGACGGAGAGAGCAAAGCCAAGCGGCACTGGGCCCCCGGACACGCCCCCGGTCCCCCTGCTGGGACGGAGAGCCTGCCGAGGGCGCGGGTGCCCCGGCCACCTTCACGGCGCAGCCGCCAGCCCCAGCTCTCGGTCTGAGGACAGCAGTTCCGTGGACAGCGACGACAGCATCGAGCTGGAGATCCGGAAGTTTTTGGCCGAGAAGGCCAAGGAGTCTGTGAGCAGTTTAGAGGCTCCGGGAGGAGGTCCCACCACACTCGGGCCGGGCAGTGCGCCCAGGCCGGAGCCACCGGGCCGGAAGGTGGCGGCGGTGGCCCCCGCCCTGGCTCTTCAGCCCAGGGTGTGCACCCGGAGCCAGAGGGGCAGGGGGACCCCGCAGCCAGCCGCGTGGGGGCCGAGGGGCAGCCCCCACGCGGAGCAGGCCTGCCTCCCCGCTGCCCCGCCCAGAGGCCAGCGGGCGCCCCCCAGGAGCACCAGCGAGACCCCGTCTGCCCGAGGGCCCCCCGCGGGCAGGAGAAACCTTCATCCCCGCAGAGACCCGAGCCCCAGAGGGGCCGGGCCTGCCGCGGGGGACAGCGCCTTTGGTCGGCCGTCCAGCTGCGCAGAAGTGGGCGCTGGGGCCGGAAGCCTCGGCGGGACCTCACCCGTGACCCCCCGGGGCGGCAGCACCCTGACGCGGAGCCTGGGCGCGGACAGGGAGGGCGGGCCCCCAGCCGGCCTCGCGCTCCCGTGGGGCGACTTCGCCCACCAGAGGCGGCTGCAGAGCGCGTGGGCCCCGAGCTCGGACGGCGGGGACGCGGCCTGGAAGGGGGGTCCAGGGGGCGACAGGGAGAAGGGGGCGGAGGGCCCGGCCCGGGGCGCGCCCGACCTCACCGGGGACCCCAAGAAGGGGCTGCCCTTCGCGGGCCTCTCGCCGCTGCGGCCCACACAGCTGTTCCCCTTTGGGAACACCGTGGCCTGGGGCGCCGCGCCGGCCGGCCTCTTCGGCCCTGGCCTGGGCCCGCCTCTGCAGGGCCCGTCCTTCTCGGCCTTCCGGGAGGCCCCGGCCGGGCCCGGGCCCGTGTTCGGGGGCTCGCACCTGCTGGGGAAGAAGGAGGGTGGGCGCTGGCCCCGGCGGAGGGCTCCGGCCGCACTCAGCTTCCACGGCGGCGGGCACTCGGGGTCGGACGAGGACGTCCTGGACCTGCGGTACCGGCGGAGGGCGGACAGGGACCTCGCCCAGGACCCGGAGGCCTGGGGCAGTGACGCCAGCGAGCTGAGCGACACCTCCGTGGAGGACGGCGGCCCCTCCATGGCCCCCAGCAAGGCCCTGAAGCTGTGAGCCCACGAGTCTGGTGGCGCCGCCGCGACCCCCCTGTACATATGTACGCCAACGGGATCGATGCCCCTATTTAACAGCCGTGTCCTGGTAAATACGAGTTTTGTAGCTTTTTTTGTAAATTATTTAAAGTGCTGTAAAAACTATTTTTGGAGAATAGAGCTGTTTGATTTTGTAGGGCGTCCCTGACGGCAGTTTCCGTGGGCTCCGTGGAGCAGCCCGGGGTGACCGAGGTGGACATCCGGCTGTGCTGGGGGAGGTGGTGACGCCCCCACGGTCTCCGTCCGGAGGCTCCTGGACATCACTCGCCATAGGGCACCCTGGGCCAAGAGGCCGTGGGACACCCACTGGGCACGGCGGCCCGGCCCTCCGGCCAGAGAAACGTGTCAGAGCACAAGTGCCAGTGGGCACGCGGGTCACTCCCGGTGCACGCGGACGGCCCAGGAGGGAGCGCACGCAGGCCGCGCCGGCCCCCGGGGGACCCATGTTGTCCACGTCCAGCCCCGTTCAGGGACTACATGGTTCTCACGATTCAATAAACCTCTTTGTACACGGGAGCCCCTGGGTCCTCGTTTTTAGCCACTGCCCTCCAAGGCAGCGGGAAGCCTGCGCGTCCCGAGTGCCCGTGTCCACTCCCCGTGAGCACGGAGGACGGAGCCCAGTGCCCTTGCCGCCCATCCCCCGTGGCGGGGTGAGGAGGGGGTGTGTGTGCACCGCAGCTGGGCTGTGGGCGGGGTCCCGTCCTCTCCTGGCGCTCGCTGTTGGGCTCCGGACAGCGAGGAGCTTGCGTCCTGGGCCTCCGCTCGCTCTGCTCTGCAGGGGGGCCTGTGGCCGCTGCAGACCCAGGGGGAGCAACAGTGTTCACGGGGCGGGGCCCTGAGGGGTCACCACATGTGCCTGAGGTGGTCGGGCAGGTTGTCATCGGGCTCCCCAAGTTGTAGGACCCTCAGCCGCAGCCTGGCGCCCACAGCCCAGGCACGAGGCGCACTCTGCAGCCGGAGGCAGTTGGGGTGCTGACGCGCCAGTGGATTGTCTGCAGGTCCTGCACCCCTGGGCTTCGGCAGTGAGCCAGTCCTGCGACCGAAGGCAGCCCCGCGCCGGCACCACGGTCGGCGCCGGCCTGGTGACCTGTGACCAGCGGAGCAGCCCGGACACCGGACTGCGGGCGCCTGTGGGGTGTGCCCTGAGGTCAGCATTGTCAGAGAACGCTCCGGGAGAGACAGTTCACCCAAGCTTTAAATTGTGTTTAACTTTAAGGGGTGCAGCGAACACTCAGAAACTGGAGTCAGCGTGCTTTGTGTACCAGGACTGGCTCTCTAGCGCCCCTAAACCAAGCGCTGCTCAAGAATCGCTTCGCTAGTTTGACCTCCTCGGGCGGCCCAGGGTGGGGGGTCTGGGCCCTGCCGGAGACCCGGATACCTTCCGCACTGAGCACTCCACTTCCTGCGCCCAGACCCGCCTCCCCGGCCTCCACCGCCTCTGCGCCCCTGATGCTGCCAGTGGGCCACTGGGAGTGAAGGTTCTGGTGCCCACACCCTGGGCTGGCTCAGGGTGGGCTGGGGCCGAGGCCGGAGGTGCCACTGGGCCCCATCTGGAAAGGGGGCTGCCTCAGGAGTGACCACCGGCCATCTGACGCCCCCGCCCTCAGCTCCCGGCCTGACTGTGCAGCCCACACAGCAGGAGCTGCCGCCTGAGGTGCTAAAGGTGCACCCACTGGTGAAAGAAGGCCCTGGTGGACGCTGTGTTGTGACTCGGTCCCGCTGGGCGTGTGGAGACGTGGGGACCAGTGACCCCCACAGAGCCAGAGAGCAGGGCGGCGGGTCTGCATTCGGAGTGAGGCCCCAGGCAGAGGTGTCGTGCCCTGGGGTGGGCCGTGGCGTCACAGTGTCTGCCCACCTGTCCCCTGGGCTGGTCCGGAGTCTGCGGGGCAGGAACAGGGCGGGCAGGAGGGGAAAGCCCTGGCCCTCCCTGCGGGGTGAGTGCTCACCCCAAGCACAACCGCACGGAGGGTGCTCTGGGGGGAAGGGTCATCCGTCGCCCAGAACTGGAACGGGCTGGTGGCCGCGTTTCCGCCTGAGATGCACTTGCACAGGGAAGTCGGCAGGTGGAAATGCGGATGGAAATGCAGCAGGTGTTGTCACCGAGGTGTCCCTTCCTCGAAGTCACCTGAGGGTGGGTTTAGAGGCCCGAGCAGGACCAACCGCCCTTCCCTGGCACCCGCAGGCCACAGCCAGGCTCACCCAAGGCCAGGGACCAGCTCACCCGAGGCCAGGCTGCTGCTGGGGCCGTCGTTTGAGGGGCAGGGGGTGGTGCAGGACACTCTTTGCAGAATCCTTGAGGCTTCCGGAGTTCTGCGTGCCGGACAGGGATTTTTCAGCGTGGATCTACTTTAGTATATCTTTGAAATCTCCCACTGTACCTGACTATAATTAAAAGGTAAAAGGTCCCTGAACAAAAATACACGAAGGTACTAGTGAGAATAGGCTTTCAGAGTAAGGCGTTACTGGTTTTCAGCCAAGCCGGCAGCTAAAATAAGGGATTCGTGACGTGTTATGAAACTTCGTTTTTCAGCGTTTCCTTTCAGAGCAGAATAAAAGGCCAGACTGAGAAACACCTACTTGCCCTGGCTGGCGTAGCTCAGCGGATTGAGCGCAGGCTGCGAACCAAAGTGTGGCAGGTTCGATTCCCAGTCAGGGCACATGCCTGGGTTGCAGGCCATGACCCCCAGCAACTGCACATTGATGTTTCTCTCTCTCTCTCTCTTTCTCCCTCCCTTCTCTCTCTAAAAATAAATTAAAAAAAAAAAAAGAAACACCTACTCGTGGTTGGAGAGAGGCTTCCAGGAACAGCCGTGAGCTTGAGTGTTCCAGGGAAACGGGTTTCTGCCGCCCTGAGTGTTTCCGTGGCCTTCTCTGCATTCCGATCCGATCTGAGACCGTGAAAGAACTCAGCACGCAGAGATGCCCGTTCGAAACACGCTGAAATGGTTAAAAGTCCAGGGCACCCAGGACGGCCCGGGCTGCGTCTGAGCACTGCCAGTGTGTCGTGTTAGGAAGTCGGGGCCCGGAAGTGAGGTTGGGCGCTGGTGACCCGGTCTCCCAGGACACCCCCAAAGTGGGTCCAGGCCCGGGGGGGCTACCTCCTTTGGAGCCTAATTTTCCCACCGGACAAAGGAGGTGCAGGCATGAAGACCCGCCCCGGGTGGGCGTGTCTGAGGAGGGGACAGCGAGGAAGCCCCTTGAAAGCCGGAGATGGACCGCAGCTGCCCGGGTCCGGGCACCAGGACGCGGGTACCGGGAGCCGGAGCCCGACACAGAGACGGTGCGAACACCGAAGCCGTTTCCGTTCCCGACTTTCCAGACACTCACCACTCGGAACAAATGCCCCGAGTCTGACTTCCCCTGAACACGTCAGCCACTGTCGCAGAACCGGTAGGAGCTGCGACCAGTCACTCACAGCATTTCAGCGCCCAAGTACGACGCCCCCCGTTCACTGTGTGACGCCCGCTGGGGGGCCTGGCACCCTCTTCTGGGAGCAGGGCTGCATCTCCATTTTCACAAAGTCTAACTCATCGGCCTTTTCCTCTAAGAAGCCTTGACCCACCCAGGGCCAGGGAGACGCTTCCCAGACTGCCTCCGAGAAGCTGGTTTTCCCTCTCCAGACTGTTGTGAGGGTCACTGGCACCTCCAGCCGGGGCCCCGGAGCCCACACTGCTAACTGGTCCGGGTCCGGGGCCTCTCCTCTGGGCTGGCCCCGGGGGCAGCTGCCTGTGCTCCCACGTCCAAGGCAGGAGAACAGGCCGTTTGCTGGGGGCTCCACTGCCCCCCTCATCCCACCCCCAGAGCCGCTGATGGGCACTCCAGTCTGCGGCCAAGGCAGGACCCACTCTTCCTGGTGAGTTTGTGAACTAGGTTGGTCGGCATTTTGTTTGTTTCTTTTTTTCATTTCTGCAAAGGTTAAACAGGAGTTCTTAGTATTTTGGCGGGTTGCTTTTTTTTTTAATTTGAGAGAGGGATGTGCAAGAGAAACATCGATTGGTTGCCTCTCGTGCACACCCCTGACCGGGGACCAAACCTGAAACCCAGGCCTGTGCCCCGACCAGGAATTGAACCGGCGAACTTTCGCTTCGCAGGATGACACCCGACCCACTGAGCCACACCAGCAGAGGTGCAGCGCGATGTTTTCAACGAGGGTTGTGAAAACTGACTCAGTTTGACGCCTGGTGTCTCCTCTGGCCTCCCGGCTGCAGCGGACACACAGACCCTGGGTCAGGCGCCGCTTTGGGTCTTTTTATCGAACGTGACAATTTTCTCGGGAAACCATTTTCACTCCAAAATGGACATGGAGAAGGTTGCCAAACTGTTTACATGGTGTATTCATAACAAAAGGGTTTTTTGTTGTTTTAAGTTTTTTACATATTGATTTTAGAGAGAGCGAGACATCGATTTGTTGTTCTACTTATCGATGCATTCACTGGCTGCTGCTCCTACCCACCCTGACCGGGGATCGAACCCACAACCGTGGCGCAGTGGGACGATGCCCTGGCTGGGCTGCTGGGCCAGAGCAACAACAAGTGTTACGAAGAAATCACCAGTTGGTGGTGAAGCTCTCCCCAAATTCAGACATAAGTAAAATCTCTTGCAGGGGGAAGTCTCTGGAGACAAGACGTCAGGGGGTGTGTGCGACGGTTTCCCCCGTCCAGTTCCCAACCGTGTCTCCTAAGGGAAGGGGAGACCTACGTCCGGAAGACATGGGAGGTGTCTCCTTCCCGCAGCGCCGCCAGCTCCCGGAAAACACCAACGGGGGCTGGCCACGCGGAGACGGGAACTGAACGGACATGCAGGCGAGCACCGCCCGTGGGCACCGGCCCCTCCAATGGGAGCAGCTCCGTTTCATTCACCGGGCCTCTCCCGACCCTCCCTCAGGGCTGGAGGGTGTCCAGCGGCACCCCAAGTCTGTCCTCCGTCCTGCCTGGCACCTTCCGGGGGGGCTCTGCAGCGCCCTCCCCTGCCCAGCTCGGTGCGCCCCAGCCGGGCGCCGTCCCCTCCCTCCGCGGCTGAGCGAGCACCAGTGGAAACAAACAGAGACTCCCAAACAGAGACGCAGGTGGGCAGCGCTCGGGACACCACGGGGGTCCCCGGCCAGCCCAGACCTGCTCCTGGGTCACAGATGAGGCTGTGAGTCCGGGCGTGAGTCTGGGCACGGCAGCACTTTAATGCAAAGTCAGGGCACGAGCATCCTTCCGCCTCCGCTGTGAGACGGAAGACGAGAAGGCGGGAGGTCACATCCCCGCCGGCGTGCGTGTTTTTCTAGTCTGGAGAGGAAAAATTCTCGGAGGGCAAGTGGTGTGTGTTCAGTGCCCTCACCATCGGGCAGGTGCTCAGAGACCGGGGGAGGGCCGCTCTCTGGGTGGCCCGGGCTGGGGGCGGGGAGCCCTGGCGGGGGGAGGGGGAGGGCCCGCCCCTCAGTCGCTGCAGATGGACGGCCTGCTGGCGTTGTAGCTCGGGTGGAAGTTCAGCCGGTCGTAGGTGGTGATGCAGTTGTCAACACCCGTCACGATGCTCTTCTCCAGGCAGACGTTGAAGGAGTTGTTCTGGAACATTCCAGCGGCTGCTAGTTGTTGGGAAAACTTGTTTGACTTTGCATAGAACACTTTCTGGAAATCAAAAGGGAACACAACGGTGCATGGTGATACCCTTAAGCGGTCAGTCCTTAGGGGTTTCGGGACGAAAAATAAGGATCTGTTGAGGAGATGTCTCTGCCCGCCAGTGTACAGAGAAGCCAGGCCTGCAGGGTGGCCCGGCGTGCCCCAGACCCTCCCGATGGGCCTCACGCCCAGGGAAGGGATCAGCAGTGCCTCCTCCCACACACACACACACACACACACACACACACGTGTGGGGCCTGGACTCAGGTCCCGCCAGAAGCCACCCCTAGTTTCTCGTTCACGAAGCTCGCTGCTCGGCCAGTTACCGGGCCTCTAGCTGCCGCAGCACCCCTGCCCGCAGTGGCCAGACTGGCCATGTGTCCACGTGACCTCGTGAGGCCGTCTACAGGCACCCGTTTCCTCCCTGGAAACGTTTCATTGCAGATCTGTTCATTTCTCCCCGGTCCTGACCCAGGGGATCTGAGGCCCCCTCCCACTCTGCCATGTTCGAGCTTTGGGCCCCTCCCACCCCACCCCCAGGACTGTTGCCCTTTGGAGAAACCCAGGGTGTGGGGTGCTTCCAGAGACTCTCCCCCCAGCCCCCCCCATAACACCAAGCTCTCCCGTGCTTCCCGCTTACCGGCATCTCGTGCACGGTGGGGGCCCGGCCCCCGTAGGTCTGGTTGCTGGTCCTGTACACCGAGACGGGCACCTTGGGCCTGGCGGGTGGGAAAGGCTCTGTCTACCCTCTGTCCATTGTGTCTGATTCTGCCCAAGCCACAGCCCTAACGGGTTTGGTTGGTGGAGCCTTGAGGGAAATGCCCCAGGCTGGAGATGCAGCCGTGAACGGGGCCCCCAGGGAACGTGGGCCCCCGGGTCCTCTCTGCTCACCTCTGCCCTTGCCCTTCATAGGCAGCCCAAAGCCCTAGAGAATGAATCTCGGGCAGCCGCCACCCTCCGCTCCCACTCCCAGCGGTCTCTCCTGGCAGACGGGAGGATAATAGTCCCACCATCCCTGGGGTTGCGGAGGGCACCGCAGGCCGGAGGGTGGGGAGGCTGCCCCTTCCCCCCTGGCACCCCAGCCCAGCGGTAGAGGAGGGAGTGGAGTCTGTGGCGGGCTCAACAGCACGACTCCAGGTCACATGGCCTGAGGCGGGAGGTGGGAGGCTCACTCTGAAGGGGCTCCTCGCAGCCCCGAGGGGGGTGGAGACTCGCCCCCCCCTCCCCCGGAACCGGGCGTGTGGCCTCTGCGGGCATCAGCCACCTCCCCTTGCAGTGGCTGGGCCACCAACTGGCGCGTCTAAAGCTGCGGGCTGCACTTGCGCGGCTCGCTGGGTGAAGCGCTGACTTGGGAGCCAGGGCGGGCCGGGGCCCTGGGGACGCTTGCACCCAGGGCTGTCTGAGCAGACGCAGGACCGGCTGGGCCCCTGGCTGCCCGCTGCAAAAGGTGGCCTCTCTTTCCTCTGCGTTTGCCAAGGGGCCCCTCCCTGCGGTTCTCACCTGTAGCCCCGGAACCACGCCGGGTTGTTGAACCTGACGGGCAGGTTCTCATCGACACAGTAGTAGTCGCTGGTTTTCGGCGGGGGGGCCTGGGCCGCTGGCTCCACAGGCTCCGCGCACTCTCGGGGGTCCTCCTCGGACATCCGCCGTCCACGAGCGCAGCACGGGGGAGAGAGGCAAGGCAAGCAGCAGCTTCTCCGCAGCCCGCGCCACGAGGGTCGCGCGGCGTCCTGTTGCTAAGCGACGGCTTGGTCACCTGACTGGGTGGGCGGCGGACTTAAAGGAACCGCGGCTGCCGGGCCACGCCCCCCTGCTGGTCTGGAATGCGAGATCTAGAATCTTCGGGGACAATGACCCGGAGGCCCGCTGGCCGGGGTAACAAAGCATCGCTTCCTGGGGTTGCAGTAGAGGGTACCCGGGATGCGTGTGGGGCGGGCCGTCCTCGCGCGCAGGTCACGTCCTGACCTTGTCCCAAAGCGGCGCAAGGCGGACGCCGGGGCTTCCTCTAAGACTTGCAGGACTTCAAGCGCCGCAGGGCCGACCGCGCGCTGAGTTCCCGCGCGCTGGGTTCCGATGCGCAGGGTGCTCGCGAGGGGTGCTCCTTGACCCCGCCACTTCGTGCCCCCAGTACCCAGAGAATGCACTTCGACTCCAGACTTGCCTAAGTTTATGGAAACCTTCCAAGCCAAGCACTGTTTAAAAATGAAAAACGATTTTGGAGTGCAAGAGGTTGGGTTAGACTGGCCGGAGGTGAGGAGAGTGCCCAGGCCCGGCGGGTTCCCACAGGGACGGCTCGTGGGGCACTCGGCCGCGAGCACTGCAGGGAGGGGGCGAGGGAGAGGGCGAGGAGCCGCCCCCAGCGCCGTTCCGGAGTGTGGTGGGGTCTCGGGGAACGGGGGCAGGGCGAAGGGACGCGCCCCCCGACCCCGCACTCGCCCGGATCCCGGTGAGGCCCTCGGTCTCGCGCGTCTGCAGTGCGGGGTAGGTGGCGAGCACGAGTCCGGCTCTGCCCGCTGCGGCAGGGACAGCCGGGGAGGCGCCTGGCGAGCTGGGCTGCAGCGCGGCGCGGAGCCTGCAGCGGCACCTCCAGGCCTGCAGGGGGCGGTGCCGCGACGGGGCGGGCCGCGGCGGAAGAAGAAGCCACTCTGGCACCGCGCCCGCCTCCTCCTCACCATGGCGCCCGCGCGCGCCCTGCCCCGGCTGCTGAGCACGGGTGAGCGCGCCCGTGGGCCCCCGCCGCGGGCCTGCAGGGTTGCATTCCTAGGATCCCCGCCCCGGGCTTGCAGGGTCGCTTCACCGGGATCCTCACCCGGGGGCTGCAGGGTCGCTTCCCCGGGGACCCCCGCCCCGGCGCTGCCGGGTCCCTTCCCGGGGACCGCCGCCCCGGGCCTGCAAGGTCGCCGCCGCCCCGGACCTGGAGGCGAGAGGAAACCCGGGGGACGCGCGCCGTGACTCCGCTGTCCGCTCTCTCCACAGGTGTCTGGCCCAGGTCGCTGCGTTTACGTGTCCTCCAGGCGGCGACCCCCAGCCCGGCCAGGCCGAACAGCAGGACGCTGGGAAGCGCCGCGACCACCGCCCTGAGCGAGCCGGAGGGTAGCGCCGGTAAAGCACGTCCCCGGTCAGGTGGGGGGGGGGTAGGCGCCAGGCCTCCCTGTTTCGGATTGAAGTTGTGTGTCGCCAGGAGTCCTGAGTGCCCCTTGCTTAGTTGTGAAACCCTGGAGGGGTCCGCGTCCAGGGGGGAGAAGGGGCGACCTGTCCCCCAGCAGCCCCACAGGCTAGGTGCTGCGCACCGAAAAGGGGCTTTAGAGTGACCCCACCCACCCCTGAACGGGGTAGGGCCAGCACCACCCTCCCTGACACATCTCCGCTGACCCTGGAGGGGCTGTAAAGACCTCCAAGACCAGCTGGGCCCGGGGGCAAAGCCGTGGTCAGAACCCAGCTTCTGCACCCAGTCTCCGGAAAGCACCCTGTGGCCCTGGGCACCCTCAGCACCTGGCTTCACTGCCCGCCCCCCAGCCGGGTCACTCCCGCGGGGGACTTGGGAGGAGCGGGGGCTCAGACCCAGCCTCCTGTCCCTCTGGCTAGATCTCCAGGACAGGGTCCTCAGCGAGCCGCTCAAGCACTCCGACTTCTTCAACCTCAAGGAGCTGTTTTCCGTGAGGACCCTCTTCGATGCCCGGGTGCACCTGGGGCACAAAGCCGGCTGTCGGCACAGGCAGGTGTGGGGCCCCGGGGGCGGGTCCCTCTGTGCTGGCGTGTGTCAGTTTGTCCAAGCACAGCTGCCTTCTCCAGATAGACTCACAGCCGTGGGGGGACGGAAGGTCTTGGGAGCGGGGTAGGGGAGGTCCCCAAGGCCCTGCAGAGGAGTGGTAACTGGCCCCATCTTCTCGAGGTCAGCGCTCCGGCTGCATGGAGAATGGGCCGGAGTGGGCTGGAGGGGCAGGTGGGAGGCCAGCGAGGAACGTGGCCTGAGCCCTGGGGCAGAGGAGCCGGAACAGCGGGTGGACGGGAGGTGGCGGGGGCAGAGCTGGGGCTGGGGCTGGGGTTGGAGGTGGGGGGTGGCGGGCAGAGCACAGTGCAGGTGTTGGGGCCTTTACCAAGGTGACTGGAATGAGGGGAGACCTAAGGGACATTGGGAGCTAGGGTCCTGTGAGGGGTGACACCTTGGCCACCACCTCGAGGTGTCACATGGGTGCTGGGAGGGAGCAGCCCGGGCCTGGATGGCCGCCACATCAGTGGGGTATCTCGAGAGGAGGGGCGGTCCCAGGGGGAGCAGGGGCAGCAGGAGGCGGGGTCCCATTGTGGGGAGGGTGAGCTGGGGGCTGGGTCTCCTCCAGCACTCTGCCAGAGGAGGGGGCGAGAGCCAGGTGGGAGCGCACTGCAGGGGCGGCAAGGGCGAGGGCCCTTGGAGCTGACCTCGTGGCTCTCCTGACCCACTGGCCCTCTGTGCCCGCGGGGTTCCCCCGCCCCCGGGCCCAGCTGGCCCCTTACCTGACTGCTCACCTTGGCGGCCTGGGGCTCCCCCTGCTCCGCTGCTCCCTGGGCCCAGCCCCAGGGGGGCCTCGGTAAAGCCTCCAAAACAGTAACATGACAGAAGGGGCTGTGATGTCATGTTGAAACACCCGGATATCCCCGTGGGTCATGAGCTGTGTTAGGGTCTCCACAGGGACGAGGCGCAGATTCCGAGGCTGAGCCACGGGTCCGAGACCTGGAAGTGGCCTGCAAGCCAGACCAGCCCCCGCTCACTCCCCGCCACCCCCCAGCTGCCCCAGCTGTCACTCACGGGACAGGGCCCTCACCCTTGTCGTCCTGGGGAAGGAGTGTCCCCCCCACCCCCGAGGACGAGGAGGAGCCCTGCTCACACGCCCGCGGGGGTCTCGGCAGGTTCATGGAGCCGTACATCTTTGGGAGCCGCCTGGGCCAGGACATCATCGACCTGGAGCAGACCGCCGCGCACCTGCAGCTGGCCTTGAACTTCACGGCCCACGTGGCCTACCGCAAGGGCATCATCTTGTTCGTGGGCCGCAACCGGCAGTTCTCGCACCTGATCGAGAACACGGCGCGGGACTGCGGCGAGTACGCGCACACGCGCTACTTCAAGGGCGGCCTGCTGACCAACGCGCCGCTCCTGCTGGGCGCCGGCGTGCGGCTGCCGGACCTCATCGTCTTCCTGAGCACGCTCAACAATGTGTTCGAGCCCCACGTGGCCGTGAGGGACGCGGCCAAGATGAACATCCCCACGGTGGGCGTGGTGGACACCAACTGCAACCCCTGCCTCGTCACCTACCCCGTGCCCGGCAATGACGACTCGCCACCGGCCGTGCAGCTCTTCTGCCGCCTCTTCCGGACCGCCGTCACCCGCGCCAAGGCCAAGCGCCTGCAGGTCGAGGCCCTGTGCCGGCTGCAGGAGGGCGCCGAGGGCCGGGGCCCCGCGGACGCTTCGACCCCGGGCACGTAGGCCGTCCCCCCCCGCCCTGACTTGTCTGCCCTCCCAAATAAAAAACAGCAACCAAACCTGTCCCTGCTCGGAGAAGCCCCCCGCCCCAGGTCCCTGGTGTGACCCCGAGTGCCTGCGAGTCTCCCAGGCCTTGCATCCCGCTGCCGGCCGCTCAGCAGGAGCAGCCTGTGGGGACGGACCTGCCGGGAAACACTCTTGTCCCCGAATCTCACCGTAGCGGGGTCTGGGGCAGGGCGGCCCCTTGCGGCCGGGCACACGCCGGCCCGGGCTGGCCCGGGTCCTGCAGAGCACGTGGGGGCAGGAGGATGGGTCCTGAGTGTCCCGTCCACCTCCTCTCGGGGTTGGGGGACAGGGAGCCAAGTGCCACTCTGAAACCCTGAAGGACCCTCATTTCAGTGCGCAAGCCTGAAACATGAAAATTTGATGACCGTCCGGGCAGGCAAACGGGGCCCTCCCTGCCCCCGAGCTGAGTTCTGACGGGGAGCACCAGAGAGGCTGGGGGGGTGGGGGGACGCCAGACCTTGAGATAGAGCAGCTCACTGAACGGAGTTCGGGCCTCCCGGGGCTGAGGGTGGCAGAGGGCCCAGGCCACCCTCGGGGGCGGGCCATCAGGGAGGGCGTCACAGGTGGGGTGGGACTGTGAGTGACACGCAGAGGCCCAGAGGCATGGGAAGTGGGTCGGCCCTGTCCTGCAGTCCAGAGGCTGGGGGCGTGGCCAAGTCAGAAGACCCTGATGCCCAGCCAGGAGTGGCCCCCAGCCCCTGCTCCTCAGGGACCACGCGACGGCCTCCTGTCATTCAGCCATCCTGTCCCCTGAAAACCAGCAGGGAGGAGCCCAGGAGCTTACTTGCTCTGCTCCAGTGCCTGGGGTGCTGGGGACAGGTGGGGGCCCCGCCAGGTGGGGGACTGGGTGAGGGCAGCAAGGACCTGGAGGGAAGACACGGAGCAGGCCTGGAGGCCTCTCGGAATGGACCCAGGGATGAGAGGCCAGCTGGGGAGGTTCCCAAAGGCGCTCCTGGCAGAAGGGGCCTTCAGGTTTGTCACCCTGGAGGTGACCCCCAAGAAAGTCCAGAAGGAGAGAATGAGCAAGCCGGGGAGAGGCAGGGGCTGGCGTCCCCAGTCCCCCCTTCTGCGGCCAGCGTGTCTGACCTGCCCAGTTAGGCCTGGCCTCCTCTGGACCCTGACCCGTGGGGGTCTTGGCGGGGAGGCACTACAGTGGGTGGAGCCACCAGATCAGAGGCCAGGGCAGGAGGGACCCCTCCCACTCTGCACCCCATGAGGGTGAGGGGGCTCAAGCCCAGAGACGGCGGGGGTGGGGGCATTGCTGCCCAGCCAGCACCAGGGCCCCACCCGGGGCTTTGCCTCCTGAGTGGCCGCAACCCCAACCCGTGGAGCTGGGCCCCTCTCCTCCCCGGCCAGCGAGCCGCAGCCTTCGCCAGGCCCAAGGTTGAGCATTTGAGATGTTACCCAAACCCATTCCTTCTGTTGCCCCTCAGGCCCTGGGTGTGAGTGGTTTCATCTGTCCTTGCAAAAGTAGTCCCAGCGGAAGTGGGGGTCGGCCCTGCGCCTGGCTGAGCCCCACAGCACGCACACAGGGCAGGCCCGGCTGGGGACCCGACCCGCAACCTGGGCATGTGCTCTGGCTGGGAATCGAACCGGCGACCTTTCAGGTCACAGGCCGGCACTCAGTCCACTGAGCCACACCAGCCAGGGCCAAACCTGCTTTTAAAACTAAAAAGAAAGGTCACTTTCTTTCCTTTCAACACGGAGATATGGGGATGCCGGCCGCAGAAGAGGGGCGCGGACTTGCTCCAGCCAGCCGCCCGCGGGCCCGCAACCCTGACCTTCACACAGAGTCAGTGTGCCCTTCAGTCTCATGCCCGAACCTTCCCGGGGAAAGCAGGTGAGATTTGGAGCGTCTCCCTGGGCCAGAGGGGAGCCGGCACAGGGTCGGGGCGGAGGGGGGAGCTCTGCCTCCCGGTGCCCAAGGGGCTGCGACCTGCGAGAAAGAAGCGGGTCAAAGGGCAGAGAGCCCGGGAGGAGGCGGCGGGACCCTCCCGGCGGCCCGATCCCAGACACACAGGTTCGCCGAGAAAACGCGCCCAAAACGTGGGCGGAAGAGCGATGTTCAAAAACAGCTATTGGAAGTCACGACCATTATCGCGCGTGGCTGGCGGGTGCGGTACCCAAGGACTCGTGGGGCCCAACACGAGTCCTCCCGAGAGACCACCCCCCTCCGCCCCGCCCCGCCCCGGCTGAGAGTGTCCCAGAGCGCCCCCTGGTGACAGGGAAGGAGCCAGAGCGGAGCGGCGACCGCACAGAGGGACTCACTGCGCATGCGGGCGCGGAATTAGAACTCCCGTCTGCAGAGGCGGCTGCCTTCTGGACCACGAAGTGACCCTCAGGCAGCGTGTGCAGGACGTTAATGACTTTTCCCGTGGTTCCAAGGAAAGCCAGGGCTCGGTGTTTTATGTTCACCAAAGGGGGGAAACACGGGGGCCTTCAGGACGTGCCCCACCCGGGCACAAAACCAGCCGCCGGAGGGAACTCCGGGCCCACGGCCACCTCCCCTTCACCCCCAAACTGGCTGGGTGCTGCCGCCTGCGACCCCACAGCCGACCCCGGCAAAGGTGTCACCTCTGAGCCCACGGGGCACAAGTGAGCCCAGCACAGGCACCTCCTCAGCCGCGCGGCATCAGCGCGAGCTGCAGGTGCGCTCCCGCCACGGGGTTGTCCTGGGGGAAGGGGCCTCAGGTGCGCTTCCCTGACGAGGTGGGCACAGGGCATGGGGACCACAGGTGTGCTCCCACCACAGGGGAAGGGGCCATAGGGGCATTCCCCCTGTGGGGTTGTCACGGGGGATGACGAACAGGGCCACAGCTGTGCTGACACCACAGGACCATGGGGGGGACCGGCCCTCGGTGTGTGGCCACGGGCCGCCACAGGCGGGGAATGGGCCGCAGGCGCGCCTGCCCACAGGTGTCCAGACAGGGGCGGAGCAGTGGCGGCAGTGTGGCGCTCCCTGTGGTGACAGGGACCAGCTCCGTCCCCTGCAGGGTAGCCGGGGGGAGGGTCTGTGTCCCTTCCCCGAGGGGACGGCGTCTCCGGCTTGTCTCAAGTACCTGCACCTCCTCCATCAGGAAGCGAACACGCAGACCTCCGACGGAGGCCGGGACCCGGGGCAAAGGCTCCACGGCCCCCCGAGCCCAGCTCAGAGGGTGGGTGGGTGGGAGGCGGGGCTCCCTCGGGCCCGGAGGTCGGTCTGGGCTGCCCCAGGAACCCCAGGAGCCCCAGCCACGGCCTCTGCTGTGCACTGGCGGTGCTGAGATGGGAGGGCCGCCCTCAGGACAGCAGTCACCCCGCAGCGCACATGCCGAGGCCCCTGTGGGTCCAGGAATTCTTCAAACGCCCCAGCAGATGAGGGGGTCACCGAGCAGGTGGCCCGGACGGGGACACTTGGGACCAGCCTGTTGGGTGACACCTCTGGGGGAGTGCATGCACGCGGCGAAGCAAGGCCATGCGTGCGTCAGACCGTGGACACAAGGCCAGACTCCACCTGTGTCCACGAGGGAGCTCTGCGCGCCCCCAAGGGCGCCCCCGCCACCCACCATGGGGGAGAGCCCTGGCGTGTTCACACTGAGCCGGGGCCGTTCCCTAGGCAACCCTCACGGGACAGTTGGGAAACCGAGGCAGAGGCTGCCCCTCCCCCAGGCCTCAACCCTCCCGTGTGGTCTGCTTTGGGAATGAGTGTCCCTGGGATCCTGGGGGTTCCCGCTCCCCCAGCCTCTCCAGCACCCCCCTTCTCTGGAGGGATGCAAAGACCCAAGCTCAGCTGTGGGCGGAACTCGCCTTAGAGACCCCCTTGCTAACAACGCGCCACCCTCACGTCCAGGCTCACAGGACAACGTCACGAGTCGTGTGACCGCACCAAGGACACTTCTCCCAGGTCGCTCCGGTGGCCCGGCACGGAGAGCTCGCGCTGAGCAGGGTCCCAAGTCTCGCGCCCGAGGTCCATGCCGCCGAGAGGGCTGAAGACCAGGCACGCTCTTGAGGTGGCTGAGGGGACTGCCGTCCTTGCACAGCACCAGCTGGCACCGCCTGGGGGCCCCCTCGGCACCGCCCGAGCTTCCTTCCAAAAGCAATCGGGAATCCTGGATTCTGTGTGAAATCACCCCACTTTAAAATCGCTACATGGCAAAAAGGAAAAGTTGTAGGGGAGACTGGCCCCCCCCACCCCCCGGTTTCCAAGTCTGGTGTCAAGGGTCCTGCGGTTGGGATCTCCAAGGCCCGTGATGATGTCACGTCTGAGACGTGCTCACTGCTCCGGGCCGTCGGAGCAGGAGACTCCGGGGCCCCAGACCCCGTGAGGGCTGCTCGCTGCCCGGGGAGGCGGGCGTCGTCTCCCTGCTCCTGGGAGGAGGAGAGGGACTCGAGGGGCCCGTCCCAATCCTCTAGCCGTGCTCTGCTGGGGGCGACACGGCCGGCACCAGGGGCCAGAACCCCAGGTGGGTCCGGTCTGGTCTAGTTTCAGAAACTTGAAACAACTAGCAGGAAACCTTTTATTTTTTTATTCTCATTTCTTTGACCTGGGAGTTACTAATAAGGTGACACATTGTAACAAAACACCATTGCCCTGGCTAGTGGTGCAGCAAAGCTTCCACTCCTGGTCAGGGCACAGGCCTGGGGTGGGGGCGCGGGAGAGGCAAGCCAACAGTGTTTCTCTCCCATATCAGTGTTTCCTCCCTCCCTTCCCGTGTCTCTAAAAAATAAGTAAGTGAAATCTTAAAAAAAAAGAAAAGAAAGAAAAAACACTGTATCCATTTCAGCTGGAAAAAGAACTGGCGTAGCCCTGGTCGGTGTGGCTCAGTGGACTGAGCGCCAGCCTGTGAACCAAAGGGTTGGCGGTTCCATTCCCAGTCAGGGCACAGGCCTGGGTTGTAGGCCAGGTCCCCAGTAGGGGGTGTATGAGAGGCAACCACACACTGATGTTTCTCTCTCCCTCCCTTCTCTGTAAAATCTTTAAAAATCTTTAAAAAAGACAACTGGAATTGAGGGAAGATGTGAGAGACACGCAGAAACAGCAGCAGAGCGGGGTCCCCCCCCACCGAAGTCCCCGTGGTGCTGGGGAAAAACGGCGCTCCCCGCCAGGGCGCTGTTTTCCTCTCCGGTTCCGGGTCCTGGCCCAGGCCTCCCTGGAACTACCAGGCCCCCTGTTTGTTTCAGGAGATGTGTGAACACGCCGCGATGAGGCCGTGCACGGACCTTGGCCTGGTTCAGGGGCACATTTACTGCACGGTATTCGGGAGTGCTCAGACTACCGTGAAAAACACGGAAATGGCCCGTGATCCCGGCACCGCCGCCCCCCGCCCCCACGCCCAGGTTTGGTGCTTTGGGTCGGAGTTGGGATCAGACTGGAAAAGTGTGTCTGGCTTTTGATGATGTCACCCTCCGACCCCAGAATGTGGCCGTAGATACCAGGACCAACCTGCTGGAGACGACAGGTTCGCTGGCCTGTGTTTACAGACGGGCAGGATTTGAGGTGGTGGGGCAGGGGGGCGGTGGGGGAGCCCAGGCATCGGACGCCCCCCTGCTCTGGGCATCAGCTGGGCTCTGGCCCTCCTCTCGGACCTGGAGAGCCCCCCGCCTGCTCCTCCCGCCTGCAGAGGGAAGGGCCACGGCCCACGGAGGTCCGGCCATGGGCCAGCGAGGAGCCGGTCTGCCCACTAACCACGAGAGAGGCCCCACAGTCTACCCATTTCACAGATGAGGAGACTGACACCCGGAGAGTTGGTCACGTGGCCCGGGCCCCTGAGAAAGGACGAGGTCAGAGGCAGCACGTGCAGTCCAGGGTCTGGCACCGGCCACTGCCGTCTGGCCTCGGACCGACCAGAAGGAACGGCTGTCGTCCTCTGGTTCCGCCCGCAAGGTGCACAGCACAGCACATTCACGGGACGCCCGGATTACCCCAGGGAGCCCGGCGGCCACCCGCACCCACAGGAGACATCACGGGCGGGGCCCCCTCGGGGCGCCCCATCGGTCACTGCCCTCTGTCCCCCACGGGGACCCGTATTCTTGCTTCTGAGTTAATTTCCCTTAGTTAACCAAATGAAATCACACAGCCTGTTTCGTAGCGTCTGGCTTCTTTCATTCCACTTGTGAGAACCGCACACCCTCGCCAGTCAGCGTGTCTACAGCTGTCACACTTCTGTACAACATTGTTATGCCCACCGTGTACAAACATTAACTCAGAATGAGTTAAAGATTAAACGTGAGACCGAAAACGATGAGACTCCTAGAGAAAGCCTGGGGAGCAGGGCAGGGGGTGGAGGGTGGGCGTGGGGAGCATTTCCTGGGAAGGGCGCCAAAAGCACCGGCGGCGCAGAGGGGAAATACGCAAACTGGAGTTGACGACACGGAGACTCGTGCGCAGCGGGACGCAGAGGGGGTGACAGTGCAGGGAGAAAGTATCTGGAGGTCGCCGGTCTGAAGGGACTTAACACCTGAACGTGGGACTTAACACCTGGACATACGAGCAACTCCCGCGGCCGAGCGGCAACCGCACACTGGCCCAGCTGGAAACCTGGCACAGGCCTGGGTGGCACTGTCTCCGAGGACGCACCGGACCGGCCAGCAAGCCCAGAAAGCGGCTCTCTGCAGCGCTGATCGCTAGGAAAACTCAGGTCACAGGCAACACCCCTCTCTACACATGGAAGAATGGCTGAGCTGTCAAAAACCAAAAGTCAAAACCACCTGTGCTGGGGAGGGCGGGGGGCGGTGCCCTGGGCCGCCGGTGGGGACAGGGTGATGCTGCACGGGGACGCGGTTCTCCGGTCCCTCAGCTCCGCCCCAGGAACGAGGTCTGGAGGTTTGGAGGGTCCACTGGGACCCTAAGACGCGGCAGACTGGGTGAGATGCGCACTAAAAATAAATTGTAAAAAATACAGGGCCCGGCAGAAGTAAGGCCTGCTTGAGTGTGGTTGGCAGGGTCTTAACGTGGGTGTAATTCACAGTTTTAATCTGAACGTCCCACCTGAAACGTCATCCGGCCTGCTTGAGTGTGATGTTACGTTTCAGAATGACACGCTTACGACTTTGTAATGAAAAGAGGCGTTACTTGCGCGGAACCCAGTGCATAACCCAGCCGACTTCTCCATCCACCACCACCCATGGGTGTCAGACACGTGGGCTCACCTGTGCCAAGGCTGGCAAGCTCACCTTACGGGGCCCGAGTCCCCAGAGGGGCGGTGGTGGGTCCTGGAGGTGTGGGTCTGCCTTCCAGAGACGCGACCCCAGTTTTCAAAGGCGACCCCGAATCCCTGCGTGCGAGGCCGAGGCCGGGGGCTCCTCCTCCTTACAACGTGTGGTGCTGTCAGGGGCTTTATTCGGCCCATTGTAGTGTGGGCACAGGAGTCTCATTCTGGTTTTTTGTTTTTTTACAGAGGGAAGAGAGAAGGGGAGAGAGAGACAGAGACAGAGACAGAGACAGAGAGAGAGAGACATCAATGTAGGGTTGCTGGGGGTCATGGCCTGCAACCCAGGCATGTACCCTGACTGGGAATCGAACCTGCGACACTTTGGTTCGCAGGCTGCGCTCAATCCACTGAGCTACGCCAGCCAGGGCTCATTCTGGGTTTTTTGTTTCTTTGTTTTTATTTAGAGAGAGAGGAAGAGAGAGGGCCGGGGGTGGGGAGAAGGAGAGAGAACCATGGACCCGTTATTCCCCTCACTGTCGCATTCGGCGGACGAGTCTTGCCCGCGCCCTGACCCGGATGGGAGCTGGGGCAGCGCGCAGGGAACGGGCCCCAGGTCGGGGCACACCGCGGGGCCGGGGCGGTGACCCGTTGGACACGGCGGAGAGCAAGCACCGCTCTAAGCGCTTTGCACAGTCCGGCCGGCCCGCGCCGTTCCGCTACCCACGGCAGGCAGGTCCCACCCTGCGGGAGGAGGGCCAGGGCTGCGCCGGGCTCGCCGGCGGGGACCTGAGCCGCTCGCGCGGGCGGGAGTGGCGGAGGCCCGGCCGGCGGCACGGGAGAGAACGGGCCCGCTAGAGGGCGCTGCGGTGCGGCCTCGGGCGGGCGCGGCTTGACCCTCGCGGGCCGCCATCCGCCGTATAAAAATCACGGCGCGCGGCCGCGCGCTCTTTCCGGGCGGCGGAGGTTGGGGTGTCCATGGTGTCCCAGCGTGGCCGCGATGGTCGTGGCCCCGGCGGCGCCCACCCGCCACATTGCCACGCCGCGCCGGGGCCTTGCTGGGCGGAGGAGCGGAGGCGCCTGTGGACTCCAGGGGGGGCGCGCCCCGTGGAGAAGAGGCGGGGACGGCGAGAGAGCCGTCGCCCCCGTGCACCCACGCGGCGCAAGGTGGGCTGACTCCCTGCTGGCTAGGCGACTTCCGAATGGCCGTCGGTGTGACTGCTGCAGGCCGGCGCGGTGCCTGGTGCCCGGGTCACCGGGGGTCCGCGGTGGATCCCAGGCGGGCCGGGGGTCGCCTTGGCTTCCGTCCGATCCCACTGCGTCGTGACCTTCATCTCCACGCCGGGGCTGAGCCAGGAGCCGCGGGGAGGGTAACGGTGTGCGGTGCTCCAGAGGCCTGGTGGCAGGGTCGCCTTGCGGACCAAACGCAGCAAAGCCCTGGCCGGGCGACGTGCATTTTCCGGACTTGTAGGATTCTCGTGGGCTGGGTTTTCCCTTTCCCTGGGGAGTTCGCCTGCTGGAAGCTGAGCTCCCGGGAGGGCGCCCTCCCGGGGGCGGGGGCGGGTGGCAGGTTGGCGCCGCAGCACGTGGTCCCCTGAGGTGCATGCAGCCTGCACGTGAAGCCCTTTCTGGGCGCCGTCCTCAGTGGCCGTGGGGACGGAGACCGGGAGTGACCGTCCCGCACACTGCCCCTAGAGGCGTTGCAGATGTGGCTGCCGTGTCACATTTGTGTCGTTAGGTGGCAGAGAGCAGAGAGGCCTGTCTACGTCCAGCGTTCTGGCGTGAGCGCCCGGATGATTGATGGTCTGACACTCGGCGCCGCGGGCGCGGGCCCCTGGTGTTCTGGGGGCCTAGGGCCCGCCAGTGAAAGCTTCCGATTCTTTCCCAGCTCTCGGCCGTCCGGGTCACGAGGTGGTCACGCGTCTGACGGCAGGAGGTAGGAGCCCGCCGCCAGCGCGGGGATGAGCCGGACAGGTGAGTAGGCGTGGGGCCGACCTGGAGGGGACCTGAGCGCCCCTTACTGTCAGGAAGCATTCTCGGGTAGCTGTTCAGACTGCAGCCAGAACCACCAGAGAGCCTGGGGGAGGATGGAAGGTGGGAAGGGGGCACGGGAGGGTGGAGGGAGTTGGGAGTGCGGCTCAGCTCCTGGGTCGCCACCCTCCCTCCCCTCTGGTCTTGGGCACTTGGATGTGACCCTCCTCACCGCGGGGAGGGAAGGTGCGGAAGTCTCTGGGCGGCACCGTGGTGCCCGTGTCAGCTGGGGCCCTTCTAGGCCCCACTGAGTGGGGGCAGCAGGTACAGGCCTGGGGCCCTGGCCCTGGGCAGTTGGCGGGGACAGACGGCTGCCCTGCAGGTGCAGACACGCCAGCACCACAGACGCGGCTGCTGTGCTGCACCTGTGACGCCAGGGCAGAGAGGAAGTGGCTATTTCTACGCTCAGTGCTCAGAACCGTGGGCACTAAGAATGGTTTGTAGCCTGACAGTCCTGAGGGCACCTGGCCAGCGGGCGGCCCAACCCTAGGGGCGCTCGCAGGCAGCTGGGAACCCCAGGTGAGACCTGCGGCGTGATGAGGACTCATGCATGCGGGCACGCACCTGGCAACCTCTGGGCCCGGTGGGACGGCCGGGAGAGGGGGTCTCCTCCCTGGAAGGGAGGTTCGGGCCCCTCAGCGGTCGTCTTGGGCAGGTGTGCCGTGCTTCCCGGGCTGAGAGCCTGTACAGGAGTGCGCACCCCTCACTGGGCTGCAGGGCCCTGGGTGGGCCGGCAGGAGCCACCTGGCACACAAATGCCCCCACTGCAGGGGCTGTTGAGAGGGGGCGGAGCACTCGAAGGGGCGGGAGAGGTTTGGGCTGTTGGGGCCGAGGGTGGGGGAGCCCGAGGTTCGCTCCTGGCTTCTGACTGTTGGTGAGTCGGAAGTCGGGGCCCACGGGGAACCCCTCGGCGGGCTGACTGACTCTGCACTGCACGGTGGCCCCAACCAGGGCACTGGGGTGGGGGGCGCTCTCGGCAGCCCCGCTGGGATGGCGGGTGTCACCAAGCTGTCTTTGTCCCCTGCAGGTGGAGAGCCCAGTGCTGTCGCAGCCGCACAAGCAAGACCTCAGGCCACGTGCCCAGGGTGAGGAACCCCACGCTTTCTGTGTTTTATTTTGACTTGAGAGAGAGAGAGCCATGGATTCTTTGTTCCACTTCAGGATATATTCCCTGGTTGCTTTTTGTACGTGCCCTGACTGGGGAGTGAACCCACGACCTCGGCGTGTTGGGGCCATGCTCCAGCCACCCGTCTGCCCGGCCTGGGCCTCCTTGTTTTCAGGCTAAAATCGGAGGGGGCGTCTTGCCTCTGTTTCCTAGAACAAGGGGGCGTGAGGGCCGAACAAAGGCCATTCACCGGTGGTTCCCCCCCAGGGCGACTTGGGGGCCCTCCCAGGACACGGCACTGTCTGAGGCTCCCTCCTGGGCAGAGGCCGGGCGCTGTGGGGGGGGCGGGGGCAGGGGAAGACCGCAGGTGTCCACCGTGCTGCGGCCGAGGAACCACATCAGGAACCGGCCGCGTGTGGTCTGGCTCTGCGGGGCGTTTCCCTGGGGCTCGTCCAGGGGTCAGGGCAGCGCAGGTGCCGGGCCAGTCACGCGTCTCCGTCCCTTTCTCAGGTCCAGGGGCCGGCTGGGTGGTGGGGTGCATGCGGGCGTGGGCTCCGTCACCCCAGGACCCCTTTAGGACAGGGGGTTGGGTGGGGGCGGGGGTCAGAGGACTCGCACCCTCCCTGGGGACGCTGGTTCGCCAGAATCTGGGAGGGGCCACGTACAGAATTTTTTTTTTTCTTTTTTTAAGATTTTATTTTTCTACAAAGAGGAGAAGGAAAGGAGAAAGACATCAGTCAGTTAGTTGCTTCTGGCCGAGAACCAGACCGACGACCTTTCGGTCTGCGGGAGTCCGCCCAGCCCCCCCGAGCCACACTGGCCGGGGTGGGGTTGTCCTCATGTGGGGGAGGAGTCGGGGCCACCAGCTAAGCAGAGCCAGGGGACCTTGGGCCTTGAGAGGGGCTGCCCCCGAAGGGGCGCTCGGTGGGGTGCTCACCCTCGGCCCCTCGGCCCCGCCCCCGGCCTGCGCCGTGTGCTGGGAGCTCGGGGCGGCCCCAGGCCTGCGGGGGGAGGGGAGCCCACCCCGCGGGGAGCAGAGTCGGTGCACAGGCGGGCAGGGGGGCTGTCAGCTGACCTCAGTCACCTCACCTGTTAGATGATGTGTCGGTCACTGATCGCCGTGTGACAAATGGCCCGGGAACTCGGTGCTTGAGGACAGCAGAGGGCTGTGGCCCTGCCAGTCTGGGGGGTTCAGAGCGGCCTGGCTGGGTTTGTCACGGGGCGGGGGCAGCTGCCTCCGAGATGGCGCGGCCCTGCTCTGCGGGAGGGCCCTGCCCGCTGCTGCTGCCGGCCAGGGACGTGTGACCTGGAGCACGTTTGGGGAGGGGCCGGACTCCTGGCCATTCCTGCCGCCGCTGAGCGGCCGTGGGTCCTGCCCGCCTGTCCTCGAGTTAGGCACGGGGTTTCCGCGGCTCGTCTGCGGGGTGATACGGAGCAGCAGGAATTAGTGGGCCTGCTGACTAGAGAGGGGGTCGGTCACGTCCACCCGGGAGCCCAGTGGGGTGTGGGGTGCAGAGCGGGCCGTCCCCGCGGTGACCGGGACTGGAACCCGGCTCTGGACACAGGCTCGCTGTGGCTGAGCGGGTGCATTCTCAGCCGAGAGCTGCTTTTTGGGTTTGAACTTTCACGAGGCTGAGTGTGTGACTTTTGCCGGGGGTCCCACCGGGAAGTGGGCGGCGAGGGGAGGGGGCAGAAGAGGGAGCTGGGGCGACCTTGGTAGCCACGTGTTTGCATTCCAGGAACCTTCTGCTGGGTGAGCCGAGAGGGCTGTGGTCCGGCGCCGGGCGTGATGCTGGGATGGCCCGGCAAGCGGCTGCTGTTTTGTCTACGGATGGGGCCCCACTGGACGCACCCGGGCACCGTCCCTGGCGGAGGGGAGAGCGGAGAGCCAGGAGGATGCTGCCCACACACGTCACAGCGGCCGGCGTGACTGTCGGGGCCGCCGGTCTGGGCATGTTGGAGAGCTGGGGGCAGCTGTGCTCCACTGCTGCTGGGGCGGGCGGGGGCTGGGCCCCCTGCAGTCCTGTGTGTGGGATCCATGCAATAAAGTAGCACCTTCTGTTTACAGCGTACAAACAACAAGCCTCTAGTGAATGGATGTCACAAAACCCTGGGCACGGTGTCAGCCATTCGTAGTGTGAGCTTGGGAGAATGGTTGCCGTGTGTGTGAGAGAGAACTTCCCTGTGGCGACAGGCAGCCCCGGTTATGGGGGGCGGCCCCTGAGCGGTGACGCAGCTCATCGTGATTTCACGTACTGACAGCTGCGGAAGGACAGGCTGTCCGTGTCCACACCCGTCCTGCGCACGGCGCCTCCCTGGGCGGGCGTGGTGCAGTCCTCGCCTTACATGCAGACAGCACGCATGTATGTGCACACGCACACACACACACCGGCCAGCTGGTCACTGCACAGGATCCTCACTGAGGCCAGTGCTGGGGTGGGGGTGGGGGCAGTGGGCAGGGGATGTGACAGAGAAGCTCAGTCGTTTCCAACTTGCATGTTTGTTTCTCTGACAATGTTTCTAGAAAGTTCTCTGTCCCTGACAATAGTGCGTGTTCCCAGACTCCACGCTGTGCTGTCCAGGTTCCCTTCCACGGAGCCCCCGAGGGTCCTTACGACCCTGGCCCAGAGGCCGAGTTAGAGGTGTACCTGCACGGTGGTACCCCAGGGTCCGGGCAGCCGGGGCACCTGTCCCGTGCTGGGCTCTGAGAGGCACCCCTGTGCCGGCCAGGTCCTTCTGACCTCGGGGACACGGCAGCGGCAGGGGCAATCCCGAGAGGGTTCCTGGCGTCCAGGCCCCTCGTGCCCCCTGAGGCTGGTGGCCGGCGTCGGTCCCCCGGGGTGAGCAGCTTTGTCAGAGGGCAGCCCTGCTCGGGGCCCGGCAGCATCTGCCCGAAACGCCTGTCCCCTCCTGCCCTCCGGCCCGAGTCCTGCGGTTGCTGTGCCCGACCAGTAATGTCCTCTGTGCCCCTGGGCGGGTGGGGGGTTGACCGCGTCAGAACCTGTGCGTGCGGACGTCCTTCCTCTGACTTTCCCGGTGGCGTCTGGGAACGCGTTATCTTGACATTTCTTAAAACCTCTTTACACATGTCCAGACCACCCTTTGCTGGAGGTCAGTTCCGCTTCAGACCCTGCTGCTCTGAGTCGTCACGTGACAACCTGGCTGTGTCCCCAAGTGTTGGTCTGGGGGTGCACCTCGTGGCCATGCCACTCTGCTCGAGAGCTGTAGTTTCAGTTCGGGGTTAAGGGCTCCCCCAAGGGTGTGAGGCTCCTGTGCCGCTGGTGCACGCAGGCGGTGGCTGCAGCCAGGGCTTCGCGGACTTCCTCGCTGGCCCGTCCGCTGGGTTGACCGTGGAGAGGGTCAAGTGTCCAGCAGTTCGGCTGTTGGGGCTTCCAGGCTCCTCGGCTGCGTGGCAGCGCCCGCGGCACCGCCGGTGATGCCGTGGGCAGGCGCCGGTGTCGCCCGGGGTTCACAGGGTCACCCTGACCCCAGCGGCAGGTGCACGGAGCCACGAGAGCCCGTCCAGGTAGAATAACACACTCAGTTTTGTGTGTCCATGACACGCCTTTCTCTTGATTTTTCTTGACACGTCTGGGCTACGTGGTCTGTGAGTTTTTCCAAGTTGTTGCAGATCAAAACTCTTCCAACGTCATCTACTGAAAGCCACATCTAAGTGG